ATCTTCTCATTGCTTGATTTGATTCCTATCACAAGCAATTTGAGTACAATATCCTTTACCAAATCGTTAGCTTGATGTTTATCGCTAACGTTTTCCTCATTGTTCTATTTGATTTCTATCATAGACAATTTGAGTACAATATCATTTACAAAATCGTTAGCTCGATGTTTATCGCTAACATCTTCTCATTGCTTGATTTGATTCCTACCACAAGCAATTTGAGTACAATATCCTTTACCAAATCGTTAGCTTGATCTTTATCGCTAACATCTTTTCATTGCTTGATTCGATTCCTATCACAAGCAATCTGAGTACAATATCATCGTTAGCTTGATCTTTATTACTGACATCTTCCTTATTGTTTGATTTGATTTTTGTCAAACAATTTGAATACATCATCCTTATATTATGATTAGCTTGACGTTATCGTTGTCATTCTACTCATTGATCAGTTTGATTTCTACCACAGACAACTTGAGTACATCGTTGTTGCAACACAGTTAGCTTGATTTTATCGCTAACACTTATTCCGATGTTCATCAAAATTTCTGTCACAGACGACCTGATTATATCATTGTTACAAAATGGTTAGCTTGATTTCATCGCTAACATGTTTCAAAATCGATCGATTTGTTTCTATCATGAAAAACTTGAGTATATCGTCGTTAGTTGTTACCGAATGGCCGGTTTGATTTCATCACTGCCATTTTCTTATGCAATTTGATTACCATCATCTTAACAATATGGATACGTCATTATTACCACGATCAGTTCAATTATACTTATGAGATTCTCTTTAAAATGTGGTGTCTTTATAAAACTTTGTATAACTCTTTATACAAAGAGATATACAAAGGGGGGCAACTGTAGACACCACATTTTGTCCGAAACATTCATGCTAGTTATATATATATAAACAACTAATTGTAGCATCACGATGATATTTGGGAAGGAAGTTTGAAATAATTTGGTTAAGACTAGCAGTGGCAAGTCAATATGAACCAATGATTACCATTTTCCGCTCATATACAATCCAAGAATCAATTCGAATGGACACGAGGATAAGTACTATTTTGAAGCTTAATACGCTTTAGGTTTGGGTTTGAATTTGAGCATTGGTTTACAATGCATAGAAGAAAAGAACAAATCAATAAATACAAAAAAAACATACTTCGCCATTTTATTTCTTCCATGATACATTTGATCGAGAATTACATAGATAACAAAGGAAAGACAGTAATTAAATATATGCAATTAAAAGACCACTCCTTTATAGACCGTGGACCTGCAATAGAAAAGAAGAACTAGTCAGTTCTCAAACCCATACACCAGGTCCACAATTTAAGCCCAAACCAAAGTAGTTCAAGTCCAAAGAGTATAAAGCCAGTTTCTTTTCAAGCCCAAACACAAATCAGATCGGACCCAAATCGGCCCAAACCCGACAGGCCCAACTCGGCCAACTGGTTCGATCCAGAGACCAGCCCAACAATCCGACCCAGACCAATTTGGTCTAACCAAATCCTATCTACAACCGACCAGGCACACTCTTCAAAGTCATATTAAAAAATTGGACGAATCAAATAGTGACAAGTGGCGGTTTGGTTTGCTATAAATGAGCTCTTCAGGCTCTTTGTTTGGGGAGGACGGTTTGGAGAAGAAAAACACAGGCAAAAAATAAAAACATCCACATTACAAAGGGATCATCTTTTTTGTTCTTGCCCTTGGCCGAAGTTCAGTGAGGAAACTGTGAAATTGAAGGAGAAGATTTGAAGATCGTTGTAGGGAAAGGACATTCTTAGGCCTTGATCCAGGTTAGTACTTGTATCAACTTCATTTTTATCAAATTTATGCAATCACGTTATACAATCATCCATCTATTTGCATATTTATACAAGCTATGTGATGGTCAAATATTATTTACTCAGATCTGCTCTTATCAATTTCATTAAGCTCTATCATCAAAGTTTCTTTTCCTTCCCATATTAATAGTTTTGGCTGTGCGATTATTATTATGCCGATTAACTTAACTATGACTAGAGTTGGATGTTTTGGTTTAAACTACTTTTGCCATGTTTAGATTTTCCTCATTAGTAGCCATACATACATATACATATACATGTACAAATTAAAGTAAAACTAGATATAGCACATATTTTTTTTTAATAACAATCAAAACAAACTTTTTCAAAGTCCTCGGATCAACTTGGATCCAAATCCAACAAATCACTCAAGCACCATAAGTTTTAGAGTTTAAAGCCCATACCAATTTCGCAAAATCACAAGTAGCAGTGATTTAGAGTCCATAATTTCGACAAAATCATAAGCAGTAGCAATGATTTATAGCACCCAGTAAAGCAAAATCACGGGCACAGGCAGCGATTTATAATCACTAAAATTATCAATTTTAGGGCCGTTTAATTACTTAACCCATTACAAAAACTTCTTTTTCGTTTTAGCAAATTCCAACCCATCAAGATTTGCATCTAAATTCATCTACCAAACACCAAAATTATCGAACTCATACATAACCAGTTTTTATTGAAAACCAAAGATCTGTAAAGAAATTCTGAACCACAACACAATACTTTGTTTTTTTTAGTTTAACCTCCAAAGTCATACTAAACTCAGTTTAGGATGATCCTTACCTAGATCTGCCCAATTTTCGAAACCTGTGTCAAAAAAATAATAGAGGTCAGAATCGGTTAAAGGAATAATAAATCAAAAGTAAAAATTACAGAAACCAAAACATCACCGGTCGCCGTCGTCACACCACCGCCGGCAAAGGCTTGCCGACGGAGACTCTAGCCGCCAAAGTCGCCCTTATTCTCCCCTCGTCGAATCCAAAAAAAAAATCAAAATACAATGAAAAAAACATAATCGGAATTCGATTTTTGAAATAAATAAAAAAAAACAAAAGAAAACCTACATGCAAGGCAAGAATACTACCTAAATCGTTTCTTTTTTGGTCAATCTGAAGCCTAATTGCTGTCGACCTTCCTTTCCCCCTCGCATAAAACAAAAAAATCAAGAAAAATAATCAGAATCCCAATCATAATCCAAGATCAGAATCATAAAACGAAAATGAAACCGGCAAATAACCCCCAAATCGACATGCAGACTAAGAAAACGAACCTTTAACTTCGCTTTTGTCGTCGCCCGGTATCCCTTTCCTCGTTTTCTTTGTCGGTACCAGAAATACAGAGAGAGAACGAGAGAAGGAAGAGGAGAGTGCGGCGCCTCTTTCTCCGCCAGTTGTTTATGAAAAAGAAAGTGAGAAGAGAGAAGAGCCGAGAGAGAGAGGCGAGGGTTAGGGCGGCTGCCGTCGATCTATAGGATTAGGGTTTCGTTGTTTTGCTTTTGGACGCGGGAGAAGGAAGAAGGAGAGGGCGGCGGTGTTAGATGGTGGCTAGGGTTTCGCTCTCTGTGAGGGAAGAAGAGAAGCGAAAGTTAGAGAGAGTTGAGAGAAGAACGAGAGGGATTGAGAGAGAGGAGCGGCCGCCTGTTAGGGTTAGGGTATGATTTTTGGGTCTCAAATGATGAATTTATACCCATCCATAAAAGACAAAAATGCCCCTAGGGTTTCCTGAATATTACCGTCCCTGCCACCGCGTTTTTGGTCATTTACCAAAATGCCCTTCCCCCATCCCTGAATAAAAAAAAACGAAAATACCAAACTGTGTCCACCGAGATTCGAACTCGGGACTTCGGGCATATGAGTTAGACGTCTAAACCGGTTGGGCTGCTGGCCCTCATGCATAAATATAATCATCTCATTCCTATTTATTCGCTCTAAAATCCTTAATACAAAATGTAGAATTGCGGATTAAGTTTATCTCGTTTTTTTACGTCGCAATACTTCCTAATAACTAAAACACTTGCATTTTTTGTCATAACCTCATGATAATCTAAATGAATTTTTATTAACAAAATTATAATACGAAATTCACGATCAATGGAACGTGATTACAATTAAATTATCAAAGTTCAAACGAACTACGTGGACTTTGATCCCGTCTAACGGGTACGTAGGCAACCGATAAGGTTCGAGTCCAATTAATCAACTAACTTTATCTTTAAATTTTTACGTCAGTGGGCGTATAATTAAATTACAACTAATATGATTAAATCATTAAATGGTCCAGTGGGACCCCTAAAATTACAAATTATTACTAAAATACACCTAACTCGTATAAAACTTATCGACTTAAGTAGTACCGATTTAGGGCGTTGTGGGGGTGTTGCTTAACTTCCCTACACGTAACCGTACTCCCGAACCCAGAACTTCATTTTCGCAGACCATATCTCGGTTCTGACCCTAAGGTTAGAGCCGATCCTAAGAGTGTTCGATCCACTCCAACTAAGATCGATGGCGACTCCCAAAAATGCCGACGCGACGACATTCGGACCCCCGGACGGGACGGTTGCGACAATAACATTAATAAACATTGAAATTCTGATTTATTTAACTATTCAGTATAGTTATCACTTAAATATAAATAGAGTAAAGTAATTTATTTGATAGGAGTGTTACTATTGCTAATTATTTTGTTAGTCTTGTACTAGTTGGTCAGTCATGTCCTCTTGTAATTAAACAATTTTTGGATTGATGTAAATCATAAATTTTATGTTTATATTATAAGATTCACTCTAAATTTGATTCAATATCAATTTTACATATGAAGTAAAAAAGATTAAAAAATTTGTAAAGTAACAAATTAAACAAGATTGATGACATTATCATTTCAACTTTGTTATAATAATAATAAGGCAAAATACACTTGTGTAGCCAAAACTTTCACGTTTGTGCCACTTATAGCCACTTTTGACGAAATACCACTTATAGCCACTTTCGTCAAATTCTTTAATGGTATCAACTAACATGCTGATTGGACTAACAGAAAGGCTGATGTGGCAACACAGGTGGAATTAACCAAAAAATAAAAAATAAAATAAAATTGTAATTTCTATAAACAAAATAGTCAAAACAAATTCTCTCCTTCCCATTAATGGCGAACCAAAGCAAGCAAGGAGATCTGTGAAGATTGAGCAGATAACTACGAAGTGAGCAATGGGGAAGATAATCGGTCGTCTCCCTCCTCGAAACCCGGCGGTGACGCCAAGCAACACTCAGCCACTATCGCCTCCACCCACCAATCTCACATATACACCATCGTCGTCCACTGCATCAACGGTGGTTTCTTCTTCCCCTTCTTATTTGACAGTCAGAATGGGCTCATCAATGGCGACTCTTGCATCGTCGGAGTTTTCCCCCTCTTCCACTTCAGATTCGTTGAGTGCGAACCCAGATATGGACGAAAGCACCGAAGAATGCTATGGAGAGATTCCATGCCGAGAGACTTCTCCCCTGACTGTACTGAGAATGGAGGCCACGCAACTCCAAGTACATGAGAATGGAGGCCACGCAGATCTCCAGCAAGTCGCTGAGAGTGGTTCTCCCACCGTCTCGATCTAGTAAGTCGGAGAAACCAGCTCCCATCAAAGGTGATTATAGATCTGATCTAGTAAGTTGAAAATTTTAAGAGTGACCCGAGTTGGTCCGATCGGCAGGGGGTGGGCAGGGCAGAAAGGTGATTATAGATCCGGGAAGGAATGGTAAATTCGGGCGGTTTAAAAGAAAGAATTCAGGGGTTTAGTGGTAGTCGGGCCCAATTGATCTCCATCTTACCACCGGCGGTTGAAAAGATGATTATAGATCCGGGAAGGAATGGTGAATTCGGGCTGTTGAAAAGAAAGAATTCGGGGTTTATTGGTAGTCGGGCCCCAATTGATCTCCATCTTACCACCGGCGCAACAACGGCTGCTGCAGCGACGGAGTCGGAAAGGTGAAGAGGATTTTTGTAGAAGATGGGTCGTGCGAAGCAAATGCCTATATGAGTGTAAATACAAATTTATTTTTTTATTTATTAATTTATGATAATAGAAATATCTGATGTGTCAATATTTGATTATTTGGCGCTAATGTGTCCATTGAGTTGGCCTCTAGTTAGCGAATCGTCAAATAAGTTAACGGTGTTATTAACACCGTTAAAGTTTGTAATGGAAATGGCTATATTTGGCATGAAAGTTTCAAAATTCTGGCTATAAGTGGTATTAGTTTTTACTCGGCCAGTTGGCCGGAGAAGTTCATTTTATTATTTATATTAGTTAATTTATCTACATGTTTGAACTTTTTGGATATTGTATACATTTTCTGCTCTCGCTTCATAAATGAATATGTGATATGCCTATATCGAATATTATTTAATAGTTAGCACACTCGCTTGTGATGTTTTTATTCTCTGATCATAAATCATGTCGTAAAGGTTTATCACGTCCCATTTAGGATCGTATATAAAAAAAATTCCACCAAGACGCTCAAATTTATTATCTTATACAACATATATCAATTCATGATTCTCGAGTTTGTACGAACTCTCAGCCAATTAATCAGAGTTCAAATTATTGGAAAAGATACTTGATTACTGGATAAATTATGTTTATCCCAATTGAAATTTGACACACATCGTATCCCTTATAATGATTAAATTCTCTAACCTCACTCATTTTTATTGTTGATGTTCATGAAGTATTTGTATAGCAACTTATTAAAATTGCTAATATTTTAAGTTTGTACTAACCCTCAACCCATACCTTTTGTCTAGATGTTCGTTTAGAATCTGAATCCAAGGATTCATATACACTATCGAAGGTTCTCATCTTAACATGTTCCTTCAATGTATAATTTTTCAACTATTTGAATGTCCATTCACTAAAATTTCTTTATATTTGGTGTTTGTTCTAGAACAAAATTTTTATTACTTATATTAATAATTGGTAAAGTGTGTATACGACAGACAAATATTTCAGGTGCATTCAAAATTATGTATTCCTTGAATAATTAACTTATAATTTTTTAACAAAATATTTTGTAGCAAAATTTAAAAATTCATACAAACATTGTGACTTTTCACATGTATTTAAATTATTGGATGTATTTTAGACACGTCTATTGTTAATATCTATGCGTCAATGGTGATGAGCACACCCTCGAGATTTTGTGAGGCTTAGCTCGCTTTACACTATTGTAACTATAAATATTTTTTGTTATATATGTGAAGTAAAACATTAATGTTTATTTATTACCTCAATCTTCGAATTTAGATTTTTCTTAGCATGAAATGTGATATTTAACGTACATCCTTTACAAAGATTTCTCTAAATTTCACACATTTTATTTTTCAAGTGATCTCGTGTCTCATTCAAAGTTCATCAACTATTATACTCAAGTCATTTTGGAAACTTCAATTTATAATCTATATCAATACATAACTCCAATTCTGAAAGAAAATTTCTTAGCATATGATGTAAGACCTCAATAGAGCTTGCTCAAGCAACATGACCTAAAGAAAATATTAGTAATGTGAACTTAGGATACATTATAAATAATGCACATGCGATTCATATGTTTTCACTATATCATAATGAATAAAAAAGCTTTTTTAATAAATAACTATTATTTCTTTGTCAAGTTTCTTTCAGACATTATCGACAAAATATTATTATTTTTGTGTGTGTTTAAATTATTCATTAAAATGTAAATTATTATTAAGTTTTAGTAAAAATGAGCAGAAATTTACATAGTAATCTTTAATCATATATTTTTGGTTTAAAAAGTGTGATATATATGTCACTCTATGAACATTAGTATATTGTTGCGTACATCGATATAATGCAAAACCAAAATGTGATATATGTCACTCTCCATCATGATTGTCACGTCGGTCGGCATGCCACCGGTCGAACCATTCAACCGGTACTGGTCATGAAATCGACATGACACCATCGGTATGACCGGTATGATCGTTTTACGAATTTCTTAGTAAAATACGTAGTTTTAGTGAATTTAAGTATGAGTACATGTAATTTTATTTGAAATATCATATTTTATTCAAATATCAATATGAATTGCACGTAAATTATCTTCAAATATGGTTTATATATGATTAAATTCATTTGATATTAATGATTTTTTATATTTCTACATATTTTATTAACCGGCATGAAACGACACAATCCGGTTGTACCACTAATAAAACCATTCCACTTGCTAAACCGGTTTGATAACCCTTCTCTCCATATATTATTTATAGATATAATGCAAAAATAAAATCAAAATAATTATTGGATAAAAGAGAATTAAATATAAATGAAGAGAGAGGGACAACTCCATAAATAGGTCAATAACTATTTTTTTGGTAAAAAAATTATCCACCTAGGCAACTTGAGATCTCTCCAAGTGCTTACGTGGCAAAAATTTAATTTTGAATTGCCATAATATTGTGTATATATATATATATATAAATAGATTTGGCCAAAAGTGGCTATAAGTGGCACAAACGTAAAAAGTTTGGCTATACAAATGTATTTTGCCTAATAATAACTAGTTTTTCACCCGCCCGTTGGGCGGTGCATTTTTTATTTATTTATCGTTGTAATAGTCTAATCTTTTTATGGCTCATATATGTTATACTGTTATACATGGAATATTAAACTCAAATACCATATTTAAGAAATTGTTTCACACGTTTTAGCTTTTGTTTATTAATATACAAACTTTAATTTCATAAAATTAGTTATTGAAGATGGTTCTTTATTGATATAGAATTTTGTATCGAAAGCCACCGTTTATGATATAAGTAGAGGATGTCAAAATTACAAAATGAATAGAAATAATTATATCACGCGTTCATTTAGTATCGAACCTGTCAACTACTGTTAAACAACATAAGAGATTATTATTCTTTTATCAAGCAAAAATGACCAAAGAAGTTAAAAAAATAAAAGGCCACACTAATAATAAAAGTGGTAGACTTCAATAAAACTTAACTCATTCTATCTTATACAATCCCCATCCATGAACAGGGATTGATTTTAGCCTAATTGTTTTCTTACCAACTAAGGAAACAAAAAAATGTCATTGTAAACGCGTAAAATTTGAAAGAACATCCACATAAACACACTGTTTACCACAACCGCTTTCTTTCTTCTTAATCGCCTTTACGAAACACCGCATATTTCCTGTTTACTTAACACCTCCTAAATACTACTTGCTGATAAGATCATCCTTGTATAGCTAGCTAGTAGTCATTGTAGAACATAAAAAAAAAAACACAAAAACATCATACCCTCTCAACTTTGCTTTGCATTCGAGGGCCCATGGAATCATGATGCCATAGGCCTCTAAAGAAAACGATCAATTGTTCAATCAAGGAGAGATGCTCTAAGTCCGAGCAATTAACTCTTCCAATTATTTGTTACCTATTTACATAAAGTAGAATAGAGAATCGTAAAATAACAACTTGAAAAAAAAATAAGAAACCCATTAATATAATCAAGTAGGCAAATTTTTGACCTGTCCCATAATTTGGTACAAAAGGGATACCAGATGAGTAGAAGAGTAGAACTTGGCCGCTCGACCTGCAGGCAGCCGCAAATCATTGGGGAAGAGAGACATGTCGCCAGTTGAAGATCAAGAGGAAGAGGGAGCAATTTGCAATCCTCAAATTGGTTCGCTTCATCTTCGCAAAGTTGGGATGAATGTTTTTTCGTTAACAACCCAAAAAGATGTTACAACTGCTCAATTCCATATGCCTTGTCATTCCTTCCATGTATCTTTGTGTAAAAAAGTAGAGAGAAATGCAAGAATCCCAAAATTTTGAGTAAATAAGAAGATAGTTTCCTTGTTTTTTACATGACTTTATCCAAATTGTTAGTCCTTCTTCCTACCAGTGTTGGATTTTCCTTTTAAAAATATAAGCTATCGGGAAAAGGGATGGAAGCAAACCCAGAGAATGCATTGGAAATTAAACATTGTTCTTTCCTTAATTTACATTTTATTGATAATAAATAATGTATTTAAAGTGTAAGCAAAAAAAAAATACCGATTACAATAAGAAGAGCCCACATTTGTAAAAAAAAAAAAGGAATTAGAAGAGTCCCCTTGGATGGTTGAGATAATGATTATATATTCAAGTGTAAGAAAAAAGATCATTAATTATAAATAAAAGAGCCCACATTTGTAAAAAAAAAAAAAAAGAGGAATTAGTAGAGTCCACCGTGGATTATTGAGAGTTAGCTATGTGCCTATGTGGCACTAATTTTGTTTTGAATCCCTATAATATTAAGTAAGGATATTTATCTTATTAGTTTTGTAATAATTATCATCAAATATAGTTTTTGTTTTACTTGTTAGAAACTTTACACTATATTAAATATAAACCTTATAGGTTGTGTATTTGAATCATAATAATGTTTTTTTATATGTTTATTTATTTTTAATCAATGTTGAGTTTAAAAAATCAAACTAATAAAAGTCACGAGGAAAATCAAGCCTGACGTGGGTGCTTAACAATTGAGAAAATTTGAAATGTTGATACCTAATTTAGAAAGTGTAAAATTTTGTATTGATTTTGGATGAATTGATGAGTTGGATTGATGTAATTTATTTGTAATTATAAAATTTAGAGTAAATACAAAAAATAGCCAAACCTTTTATGTTTTATACATAAATAGCCAAATCTATTCAAATCACAATAAAATAGTCAAACTTTTTAAAATGCGAAATAATTATAGTCATTCGTTAACTTTCCATT